AAACACTAGAGAGGTGCTTGAGTTTGAATCCTAAGTTGTCAGGTTAGACTTCTGCACTCTTCTGTGGGCAACCTAGTGGGAACTGCAGAATATGGCGTGAAGGATCATCTTGTACGTCTCTCCTCTTCAGGTGGGCAGCAGCTGGTCAGAGTGGTCATAACCCGATAGGAATGTAACGTAAATGTAATGCACATTTTGTAAACTGGGATGGTGTCATAACTCCAGGTGACTTTTGGAATAATGCCATTATATACTACATCTTCTGCCAAACTACTGGTAAATTGATAATTTTATCTACAATTAGAAAACCTCAGATTTTGTTCTCCCAAACCGGACTCATTTCTAGAGGATTAGTTACCAGGAATTTTCTGAGTAGTTCCTGATATTTAATAGAGCCAACAGTGTTAATAATAATTTTACTCCTTTAGGACTTTGTTATTGAACTAATATAGGTTTTTCCAATTTCTTTTTTTCAATTGGGATTTTAATGTATCCTGGAAGCTATTTCTTATTGACCATGTAATGGTATTTCAGAAACAATGCGTAGAGCAAGTTGCTGTATAACTTGAAATGAACAGGACTTCCATTCAGTCCTTTTTGGATAAAAACAGCTTTCATACCCAAGGTAACATGCCATCTGTACTACTATGTATGTATTATATTAACACTGAAATAAATGACAGAAGTTATCTGAAGTCATATGTAATCAATAGACACAATAATTTGACTTTCCCATTCATAAAAATAACAATGCTCACGTTTTAGTAATGTGGTACTCATCCTATTTTCACATTGTCAGCACTGGGTGATATATGAGATGATATAACCTAATACAATAATGCTTCCTGTCATAACTGGTTTTAGCAAAATAAAATTATCCATGCCAAATAGAAAGATGATATAATTACAGTAAAGACTATATTTATCACTGGAAGTCCTTCATGTATTCAAGTATAGAGATCAGGATTAAATAAATTGCGCAGGATTGTGCGCAAAAGGGATTTGTGGACTAGGGTTATTTATTTAGTACTCAAAATTCAATAACCATTCTATAAGAATAGAGCAAAGCATGAATCTTTTCCCAGATCTGTTAAAAACTAAATACTGAGTCCTGGAGACACTTGTAGGTAGTATGGAATGTCATGAGACCCGATCCTCTATTTGTATAAGTCACCATGTCTTCAGTTTGTGTAAGCTGAGAATCATGCTCAAAAGATTTAGTCATGAGAATAGATGTTTCCAGGGTAAAGGGGTCTAAAACAGATAACTTTTAGACTTTTAAACTCCATAGCTCTGTGTATGGAACATCTTCATTTCTTGGCAATACACTTTTTTGTTTGTAGTGCAGTGCATCTATGTTAATATCAAAAAACCTTATGGAAGAAATGCGTATGGGAACCCAGTGCAGTTCTTGCTCATGGTGACAAAAGGTTCAGGCTAACATAAGAGAAAAAAACATGCAGAGATGCAAAATCTGATGGAGGGGGTTTTTCGGAGGTTTTTTTTCACGTATCTGGAAGAACGGAGGCCTATGCAGAGGCACTTCTAATAGCAAAGCAGTTGTCCTTTTTGCCATCTCTGATTCCAGTCAGGAATTTGCTAATAGAAACAACATGTGAATTAGATGGGTGGGTGGTGGAGCTGTAACAGTAAGTTGTGTCTGCTGTACGTAAGGCTTGTATTTCACTGGGCTCCCCAGGCTTCCCTATGGGTCGCAGGGCTGCCTAGAATTTTTCTGGAGCTGTGGCTGCACTCCACATGTCTCTCCTGAGCCCCCTGGCAGAATGCGGTTGTTGCTGTAGTGGTGCCTGAGGCAGGGAAATGCTCCTGTAACCAGAATTGGGCTATTTCATGGCACCTAAAAAGGCATGTAATGAAAATGAGACTCTTCTGCTGTTTAAAATGGCTAACTCCAGCCACTTCTGAATTGATGTTTTCCCTCTGATAATGTGTCATGGCTTCCTAGGAATCATAAATTGTCTAAAGAATTTGCATCAAGCCATGCACTAAGTTGGTTCTGAAGCTAGGTATCCTGATTCTTCGTGCCTTCTTCTGAAATTCATCTGATATCATTGCAGCAGAGCAAAGAGAAGAAGCTACCCAAACACTCTCTTCTGAGGTTCTGTTCATTGTCAGGTTTACGAGCCATTAGCAGTACTAAAAGCCTGTAAAGGACTTTCTGTTCCAGCAGACTTGGTACACAGATGTTATGTACAGGTTTTTCTGTAATGAATATATAAAAATTTTGAAGTGATATACAACAGTGTTTCATCTGTTCTTCTTACTGGGTAGTTCTAGTCCTGGGATGTGTCTGAAGCTTATTGCAAAATTCCCATGCATTCATGAGGACCAGGATCTGGTCCTGTGCATTCTTATCTTTTTTTCTTTCCTCAAAATTGTAATTAACTGATCAAGTGACACAAGCTGTGTGTGTGCTTGGAGGCTTACAGGGCACATGGAGCTTTGCAAGGCTTGCATGCCTTGTGTGTATTATGTGACTTTGCATGTAACAGGCATTGCGCTTATCTGACACATACAATATGCAGCTGCTTTCCAAAGAACCTCTTGTTCACAAGACTACCAATAGCAGAGTCAAATAATAATTGTGCAGAGATGAACCCCACTGGCTGCGGTGAGAGGCTCCAGAAGCTCAGTTAATACTCAAAAATTGGCCCAATGATACAAGTTTAGGAATGAGCAAGTGGGATTCACATAGAATCAGTTTTATTGCCAGGTAAGAAATTCATATTAATATAGTGAATACATATGTTTACAAATAAACATTCTTAAAAAACAAACAAACATTTTATTGTAGGAAGTATTATTGGTATCATAAACTCTGTAGTTAACAAGTATTAACACGGGTTTACTTACAGAACATACAGTTACTAAAATATTTTCACATAAAATATGCTCAAGTTACACGAAACCTGTGTGAATTAGAGTGCAGCTGTAATGTGTATCTGAAGCATATGGATTAACAGCAACATTCCATAAAGGGTCAAATTAAGTCAGCCAGTTGTGAAGGCAATAAAGATTAAAGGAATAAAAGTAAGATAGTGGAGAATCTGGGTTGTGTGCAAAGTATTTGTCCCGTGGGCTTTGTCCACTTCTGATAGTCTTAAAACATATGATCGTACAATTTAGCAGCACGCTTATGGAGAGATGCCGGTGCTCTCAGGATGCAAATCAATCTTGATATAGCTAAAAAAAATGATCTCTCTGTTTAAACACATTTCAAATTTTTAGCCCTTGCATCCTTGACTAAGAAGAAGCACTGCCAGTCAGTTGAGTACAGTAAGAAATGCCACTTCCAATTCTTCTTACAACATAACAGTTCTCACTCCTCCCTGCATACTCTTCCAAAACTAATCTCCAGAAGAATTGACAGCTGGTGAGAACGCAACTGTAGTAAGATAGCTAGCTAGGATTTAGCCAAATGACTTGTTTGGGGGGAAGGGCAGGAATTTAAGTGAAGACTGAGTGCATTGCCTGCCATCAGGCTGTTGCAGCACCGCCATCCCATCCCAACTCTGTTTAGCTCTTTGTAGATGTGCCAAAGCCTTTACAGGCCCAGGACTGCGAGTCTACTACCAGTGCCCAATTCAAGAGTGGTTTTACTCATACGAACAAGGCATCCTGCTCATCAGAACCACAGTCAAGACCACGAGTCCAATTGTTTGTTTAGTTTAAACCCAGATCTCTTTGACATTTGAGGCTACTCCGTTAGCCTCTTCCACCAAATAGTCCACCAAGAGGGAACGCCACTATAGAAAGCCAAACGATAGAGACAATATACCATATAACATTTAGTTGAACTACAGAGAACTACCATGGCTAAAAGCAAATACAAAATGAGAGACTAGAGGGAAAAAGTTTAAATTGGGAAAATGGAGGGGCTAACTAAATAGTATTGACTGTGCAACCACTGATGGAGATGTAGTCCAGTTTCCCTTCAGGACAAACAGAGGAGGCTGAGTAGGGCAGAACCCTTGTCATCCTTAGCAAAACATGAGGAAATAGCTTAAAGGAACAGAGGGGTCACTTTGAGAAACAAGACTGTCATTGAACAATAATATACAGTAAAGGCACCACCCACGCTTAATTTCAGTCTGAAGCAGTTGAAGATAGGCAAAACATTTAGGTGAAGAAAAAGTCCTGACAGTCTGCAAAGTGAGAATTGTTACCATCTGCCTGAAAACAGGAGGACTGAGAGGGAATATTCTGATGCCCTTATTCCCCCAGCAGCTTTCTGAGTCATATGATACGTCTCTTCTTATTTTGGAGGTTCCCAAAAATTTCAAATCAAATGAAGTAAACTGAAAGAAAATCTTCTGCTGTTTGTTATCATCCTGCAGAATTCTCTAACAGCCAGAAAGGTCCCATATGCTCTTAATCATAACAGTCTTCATAAATTCCTTGTGAAAGAGTCTTTGTCCCTTATCGTATATATATTTTTTGCGCTTTCTATAGGATGGTGTGAAAGTACAATAATAGATGTTAGGGGTTGTACCAAGATGTTTGCTCTTGGCTTTTCACAGGTCTAGTGATTATTAATAGATTTTATACAAAATTCTTCTCTGAAATAATATATTACAGTATATTGTTCTCTCTTTCTTCCTCTGTCTCAAGGCAGGAACATAGTGTAAATGTTTAAGCAGACATAAAGTTTCTCTAGATTGTGCTACTTCTCATCATGGATTTTAGTTTCAAGTAAAAAAATTTAGTCACAAGGGTTTGTGTTCCATTGTGAAATACAAATGGAGTTTATAATTCAACCTTCAGTATGTATTGCTGAATGGTATTAACTCTTCGGCCTACAGTTGGTTGGATACCAAGAGTGTCCAGGTGGAAGTTCCTTCCTTCCGTTTCCTTTTTTTTTTTATTTTATATTTTGAAATTTATTTTTTGCCTTTCAGTTGAGTGTTTGTGTTGTGTGTGTATTTGTGTGTGGTTTTTAAAGGATTTCATTTAAAAAAAAAAAAAAAAGGAAAACAAACTCAAACAGTTACTTCTGTCTTGCTGTTAGTTATGAAGTATGGCTGTGGGCCCAAATAATGCTGGCTCCGGGTTGTCAGTGGGTCGCTTAACGTTGGGTCTGCCATACCATGCTTCCCCTTGTTTGTGTATGCTTGCCGTCTAAGAGACTGGTCGTTGGGATCCCAGGTCTTGTAGTGGGAATTGTAGCCTAATGGGTGTGTGTGGATCTTTGTGATTTTGGATTTCTGCCCGTTCTGTTTGGTTAGGCCACTGTCGATCGTGTAAGCTCTGTCTTCATCTAGGCGCACTGGATGGAGTGGCAGGCTCCCCTTGGCAGCCAGTTCTGCAAGATGTCGGCGTTTGGTGTAGAAGTCATCGTTGACTTTGTCAGCTATTTGGATTTAAAAGACGGAGGGGACAAAAAAATCAGTTGAACACAAGAAAAATGTTACACAGTTTATAGTAGGTCATGCACAGTTACATCTGTGGACCAGATACAGTTACAGGTACATCAGTAAGAAAAATCCATGCCACCTCCCATCCCTTATTTTCTCTCTAATATATTTTTGGATGCCATTATGCTAGGCTTTTCATATAGGAGAAAGCATAACTTCATCCTGGAAGCTATGCTAAGGCACATGGAGGGCAGGGACGTGATTCGAGACAGCCGGCATGGCTTCACCAAGGGCAAGTCCTGCCTGACCAAACTAGTGGCCTTCTATGATGGAGTGACTACATCAGTGGACATGGGAAGAGCTACCGATGTCGTCTATCTGGACCTCTGTAAGGCCTTTGACATGGTCCCCCACAACATCCTTCTCGCTAAACTGGCGAGTTATGGATTTGATGGGTGGACTGTCCGGTGGATGAGGAATTGGTTGGATGGACGCATCCAGAGGGTAGTGGTCAACAACTCAATGTCCAGATGGAGATCAGTGACGAGTGGTGTCCCTCAGGGGACAAGTGTCTTCCAGCTCCTCTTGCCTTCATGATGAGTAGGTTTTTAATTCCCTGCACTGTTTTTGTTTATTTTCCCTATTATTCTCTCCCCCCCAGTATTGCTAGGAGGCTTTTGTTGCACTCTGAATTTTCTCCTTCTCTCTAGTTCTGAACTGGATCTTTATGCAAGGTGGTGAACTTCCCATGAGCACCATATTAATTTTCAAGATCAGGCTTCAGTTCTGCATCCCCCTTGACCTGGCCCCTGAACAGGGAGGAATATTACCAAAAGCAGTTGCTGTTTATCATCTCATGACATTTTTTGTATAATGACCATGCAACTGGTCTTTGCTCTTAAATCCTTAATTTTGTCATTAAAAAGGCGTTTCCTCTTCAATGAACTGAAATTGCTCATCTGTGCCATAAAACTAGGCTTTGTATGTTTTACCCATCTCCATCTGTCTCTTTTTTAATCGATGAGTGAATGCTTTTCTGTAGCATACAGGTGTCTTCTGTTTTAAATCACAGAATGTATATAATGACCTATTCTAATTTCTGTACAGGATGCGCAGTTACAATTGCTGATAGACCTGTAATGTGTTACAAAGAGAACCTGCTAAGTTCTGCTTTGATTTTGGGGTGTTTGATTTAGAGATCTGTAGTCTGAATAATCAAGAAGTTGTACCTGTTTCTCTTTGGAAGAGCTTTTTTCAGTTCTAAATGTGGCTTGTCCTTTTAATTTGTTAGTATTAACTGAATGCCACAAAACAGTATCTGTATCTTACGACTTAGACCTTGTCTATATATGAAAAGTCACACTAGCTTATGTAATTTAAATTCAGTGTAGTTAATTATGTCCAGCTCCTAATATAGATACATTTGTCTGCCTATTTCACATTTAAATTGGTTTAATTTGCATAGAAAAATGAAAAACTAAGCTAATCTCATGTAAGAATAGTGTAAAATTGTAAGTTCATACTATTAATTTGATCTTAGTTAAGCTACAGCAATTTGTCTTACGTAATCAAGACCTTTGATGATCAATGACAAGGTAAATAATGACTTCTGTTTAGAAAAATAACAGTGGTGATGCAGTTATGTAAACAGTGACCAAAAATTGCAGATATTTGCGTTGCCTGATTTTTCGTGCCATTTTTCTCTCTCGTATGGCTGAGTGAAAAAGGCCACAACAAGCTCAAGCTACTTCCTTAGTGTCATGGTTTTTCTCGCTTGCACCTTTTCCCACTGCCAGCAATGGTCCTGGATCTCTGAATTTTGACAGACATTAGATATGTTACTCAGTTCTCCAAACACATCAAGATTTATGTCCTCACAGAGGAGTAAATTGTATTACTGTTGCATATAAACAATACCCCCACTGTAAAAACTAAGCAAGGAAGAAATCAGCCTCACAAGGACTGTACCTATGACACATCTATGAGATTGATTTTGCTCTTGTTTATGCCATGTTATATGTAAAATTTTCAACTCCTTATTTGTTTCTTATGGAAGATCAGACAGTGAAATGATTAAATCTGTAAATGTAGTTACATTAAAGTTGCTTTAAATAATTTATTCCATAGTCCCTTTCTAGGGACTTCTCAACTGTTGTCTGGAAACTGGGCTTGAAGAGAACAAACCAGGCTTTGATGTGTAAATCCTCATCAGCAAAGTCAAGCAGAAAGCTGGCAAACACATGACGAATGGCTGATTGCATGTGTTTTGTGTGGCAATGGCAGTGTGGGAGAGCTGCTGTTTGTATTTGTCCTGATCAAATAATGGTTTGCAGGGTTTTGCCTGAGAATTTCTTATGTATGCCTAGGAGTTAAATGCTAACAGTGAAAGCCAGCTTCTTTATCTAATGTTTTAAAACAGTGTTTAAAACAGTCTTCAAAACAGTCTTCTTTCAGCATACACGCGCAGGCTTACACATAGGCACATGTACCAGACTTGGGTGGGGGAAAATATCATTGTAGCAAAAATGTAGCAAAAAAAGCATTGATAAAACCAAATTGTTCAGTTGCTCAAAAGGGCTTTTGGCAAGTCTTGAAGCAGTCCTCATTCTTGCCTACTGACTAGATCATAGATTTTATAATACCAGTGTGCTATGCCCTGGTGTGAGTGACCTGATGCTAGTATAGTGCAAAAACAGGTTTTTTTACTTCTGATTTGCAAAGCAGAAAAGATTCAGAAGAGTAATATTGAGCATGGTTTTGTAACAAATATTTTATCAAGAAAAGCATATTTATAGTATCCTGATGCCAACTACTTTAAAAATCAACTGTGAATCTCAGGAAGTTCATTTTTCCTCTTAACCAGCCCCTATAAATATTTTGTGAACTTTGAAACATGCAAAGAAACATTTTGGAGTTACAGGGTGGATTATGTGACCTTAGGTACATGACTCAACTTTCCTCTGCCTTGGTTTCACCAGCTGTAAAATGAGCTGTTAACACATTGGAGGAGGTAGTTAAGTGTTATAAAGATTAATTGCTATTTGTAGAGTATACTGAGTTTTCAGATGAAAGGTGCTATAGAAGTGTCTTTTGCATTGGCTTATGTATATAAATCAGTAAAATAGGATTTAAAGATATCACTGTCATGTTTGCAAAAGGAGTAAAGAATTAGAATTGCAAAATTGCCAAATGAACAATAGTAAAAGAAGGGCTTTAATTCTGAGTGTTATTCTTTGTGTTCCCTCCCTCCAGTCTTGGCAGCTAATTATACAAATGTTCTCAGTTTCAATATTTTTATAAGGTTTTTACTCCTTTAAGGTAATGCATCCACAAATTTAGTTACTGTTGTAGCTGTTCATCTGGAAAAAATGTTGAAATATGAATTTTTTCCAGCCTAAAGCATGTGCCTGGGAGGGGGTAGAACTTGGGCTTTTGTTCCTGCTGTGCATGAAATGAATAACTAAAAAAATATAGCAACAGTGTAAGGATCAAAAGCAGGACTCCTCCCTCCCAGCTGAGTGCCTTAACTATTAAGCTAGAGATGCTTTCTCTTCCTTTGTCTTTCTAGACTAATAAATCTTGAATTTTCTTCTGCTCCACAGCACAAGTTCATCAGGACGTGAATCTGGGTGGGGACCATCCTAGCAGAAGCTGGGATGGACCTTGCTGGGTAGGAATTGTAGATTTAAATCCCACTCAGATGGAGCAGTTGTACAACCATGAGTCTATCATCTAAAAGGTGGATTGCTCCACTCCTCACTCATATCTGAATCCAGCAATGCTTTAAAGTGACGACAACTGTCTGTTTTATTTTTATCTTGACTTTGCCAGTATCGGTGTCAAATGTCTCAGGTTAGGACCCTTGCCTTATTTTTTGAATTTTGATTTTGAAAGGAGATGGCTACCAAGCTGCTTGGGATAGCAAGGTCATGGGAATGCCTAGGAAAATTTCAGTGAGTATAGGCTCATTTAGATGAGGTGGCCAGAAAGGAATGGGCTTTTGATGGTGTATTTTGATTCAAGTTTCACCATTCGGCCTGAATCTGTCACTAACAAAGGCTTTGTTCTTTCGCTGATTGATGATTGGCCATGACCAAACGTGGAAGTTTCACATATTTCTTCATAATCCACAGTTATACAAAAAAAGCATGTAAACTAGTGAGTCACTTACAGACTAAATACCATGGATGAAAACATGTTTTCTTGAAAATCAGTGGCAAAAATCCTTGTGGCTGTAATAGGGCCAGGATTTCTCAATGCGTTTATTTGAGCGTATGTTATCTGTGTGGCGAGGTGGCCCTGAAGCTATGTAATCTTGTTCTGCTCCCTAAGTCTTCACGGTGGCTGTGTAACCACTTTTGGCATAAAGAGTCGTGTGAACATGCATTAGCATTGTGTAATGCTTTCTTTTTCTTGTAAAATATTGCAGTTACAAGTATTTCTGTGTAGAAAGTACAGCTAAATAAGGAGGCCTTGTGTAATTCTAAAGTAGTATTCTTTTACTCTTTTCCTTATTGACAATCCTCTTATCTTTGTGGGTCCATAAAATGGCTCTGAATTGTTGCACCACTTCTTACAGCTATGGGAGGAGTGTAGAATCCTGAAAGATAATTATGTCCTACAGCTTTTGTGAAAGTAGGCACCTAGGAGTGGGAAGAAACCTCTGAAGTGAGAGAGGAGAATCCACAAAGGAGTGAGCCCTTATAAAAGCTCTAAAGACATTGGGGGAAAAAAAAAGCTTCCGTGAGAGCTTGCAGTCACAGTCAGAAGATACAAAAATATATAGGGAACCCTGTTTCTCAGTAGATGTTTCACAGAATTGTTTGTTATCTGAACATATTTTAAGAACTACTTTGTGAAACGCAGAATTTTATTCTAGCCACAAAAACACTGTATTTCAAATTTAGGGCTAGAGGTACAGAAAGCAAGTCAATGGAAAGTGCTGGGGGACACGATAGCAATGAAATGACTACAATGATACACTAGATAACAGCTA